GCCTTTTCAGCATCGTTGGCGGATAAGTCCCTGGACCGTCTCCAAGTTCTGCAGAATCGTACGGCTCGAGCTGTGTACGGGTGCTCGCCACGCACCTCTGCCAGCAATCTGCTTGTGAAACTCGGCAGCTACCGTGTCCGGGAGATCTTCATCCAGAAGCTCATCTTCCTGGTTTGGTGCTGCAGGTACTACTGTGCTATCTCTACACTGCAGGTGCTGTTGCTACCAACCAGTGGCGCTCTTACTTGGCTCCAATCCTCTATGCCTATGGGTCTAAGAACACCGCCAACACGCACTGAGCTGGGAAAGGGTTGTCTCGCGTTCCAAGGAGCTGTAGGCTCTGGAATGCGTTGCCTGGAGAGGTACGGGTCACACCGCACCCGCTCCAATTTCCAATTTTGATATTCCACAAAGCATGCACTTTTGAGGAGGTCAGACGGATCACTATCGCCATATTCTCATTATATGTCTGTCTGTCGGCCTGCCTGTCTCTCTCCCTGTCTCTCTGACAACCTGCTTGTTAGTTTTAAATCATGCACCTGCGTTCAGGCGTTAACTCTATTGCGGAGGTCTTAGCCCTCATTTGTTAGACTTTATAAATGTGACTATCTCTCTGTCTCTCCCTGTCTCTCTCTCTGTCTCTCTGTCTCTCTCTGTCGCTATCTATCTCTCTGCCTCTCTCTCTGTCTGTCTCTGTCTGTCTCTGTGTCTCTGTCTCTCAACCTGCTTGTTAATTTTAAATCATGCACCTGCGTTCAGGCGTTAACCCTATTGCAGAGGTCTTAGCCCTCATTTGTTAGACTTTATAAATGTGACTATCTCTCTGTCTCTCTCTTTGTCTCTGTCTGTCTGTCTCTGTCTGTCTGTCTGTCTGTCTGTCTGTCTGTCTGTCTGTCTGTCTCTCGGCCTGTCTCTCTCTGTCTGTCTCTCTCTCTCTCTCTGTCTGTCTGTCTGTCTCTCTCTCTATGTTTCTATGTGTCTATGTTTCTCTCTCTGTCTCTCCCTCTCTCCCTGTCTCTCTCTTTCTCTCTGTTGCTCTCTCTCTCTCTCTCTCTCTCTCTCTCTCTCTCTCTCTCTTCTCTCTCTCTCTCTCTCTATCTCTCTCTCTCTCTCTCTCTCTCTCTCTCTCTCTCTCTCTCTCTCTCTCTCTCTCTCTCTCTCTCTCTCTCTCTCTCTCTCTCTCTCTCTATCTCTCTCTCTCTCTCTCTTTCTCTCTCTCTCTTTCTTTATCTCTCTCTCTCTCTCTCTCTCTCTCTCTCTCTCTCTCTCTCTCTCTCTCTCTCTCTCTCTCTCTCTCTCTCTCTCTCTCTCTCTCTCTCTCTCTCTCTCTCTCTCTCTCTCTCTCTCTCTCTCTCTCTCTCTCTCTCTCTCTCTCTCTCTCTTTCTCTCAGATGTGTGTTTTTTGGTACACAAGAACATCTCTGGTGTTTATCGCTTTCTTGCTTTGACTTCTGCCGCTCCTTCGTTCTCGTACTCCTCTTTCTGTACTAGTGTTGTGCAACCGTCCTTCTAGTCTATTCATGATTTGCCCCGAGATGTGTTGATGCATAGTGATTTGACGCTTATCATTGGCTCACTTGTCACTGGACAGTTCTGCCCGTTTGGTTTAGCGTATTCAAATAGAGAAAACAACCAGTAGCGCCCGTTCCAACAGCTGTGGTTCGCACAGAAATCCAAACATTATTATCCCTGCCAGGCTACCAATGTTTTCAGCATCGTCCATCCCACGCACAGCACAGGTACAGGAACATGATTTGCAGATCCCGGTCGTTTTACTGCTCGACCAACACTGGGGCACATGCACAGCCCACGCAGTCCACGCCAGGGAGTCGTAGGGATACGACTCCCCGGTTAATTAACATTCACCGACGACTAGTCAGCATGTCACAGTACGCAAAGTGACATCCTGCATCCTAGGCACTGGGCTAGGATCCGGCAAGGTGTGAACCAGTGCATCTCTCTCTTTCTTTCTCTCTCTCTCTCTCTCTCTCTCTCTCTCTCTCTCCCTCTCTCTCTCTCTCTCTCTCTCTCTCTCTCTCTCTCTCTCCCTCTCTCTCTTTTTTAAATTTTTTATTTACTTGAAAAAGCACATAACCACCAGGAAAGCTGACAAAGAAAAAAGAGTAAGAAAAGACAGATAAAAAGAGAGCTGAGAGAGAGAGAGAGAGAGAGAGAGAGAGAGAGAGTTGGGGTACGGTTAGGGGAGGACGAGACATTGAATGGTGGTCGCCACAGTCACAGATAGTAGCAGTGCTGGCGAGGCTACAGGCACTCCACTGACCATTAGGTCTCAGTATCGCCATGCTGGTAACGCACCAAGAGACAAAAACGGAAGAAAATCTGAAGCGCAATACATGAATGGTAATTACAATATAGGTAATAGGGAGAGTGGTGACCAAGAGAGGACAGTATAGACCGTTAGTATGGGGTGCTTCAATGCACATCCCCAAACCGAGAGGTGCGATCTGGAAAGAACAGTGAGACGATCAACATGATGGGCTTCAAAGCACGTCCCAAGACCATGCCTGGTCTGAAATGTGTTTGTTGACACCTTTTTTAAAAGCTGTGAGTGGAGAGTGATTGGCCAGACGGGGATAGACGTCCTCGGGGAGGCTGTTCCACAATTCAAGGAGACAGTACGGGAAGGAACGTCGAAGGTAATCGGGACTGGTGCCGGGGGTGGTGTTTAAGAGCTGTTCTCTCTCTCTCTCTCTCTATCTATCTATCTCTCTCTCTCTCTCTCTCTCTCTCTCTCTCTCTCTCTCTCTCTCTCGGCAAGGTGTGAACCAGTGCATCTCTATCTCTCTTTCTCTCTCTCCCTCCCTCTCCACCTCTCCCCCCCCCCTCCCCCCTCTCTCCCCCCCCCCTCTCTCTCTCTCTCACTCTCTCTCTCTCTCTCTCTCTCTCTCTCTCCATCATACTCTATCTTTCCGTCTTTCACCCGCAGTCTTTCTTCTCTCCCTCTCGCCTTCATCCCGAGACCATTAGTGGGGGGAGCGCACGTCACCTCACCGGCACAGCTTTATAGCACCTACACGCCCTTTGTTTTTGTTTAGTTTTTTTTTGTAGTCCCCTATGTTCTCTTGTTGTTGTTTTTGTCGTCTTACATTCTACCAGTATGTAGGCATGTGCACTTTCATAAAAAATAAAAATAAATGGAATAACCAGTGCACAACCCTTGTTAACCCAGGGTGCAAACGTGCCCAAAACTACAATGACAACAAGGCAAGAAGCCAGCTGGATACTGGACTGGCGGACTGTGTGAACAAGGTCAATCCACAGTTATTCGAGCCGACTCCAGATGCCTCAAGAGTCGAGGAAAGTAATGAAGAGGTGTCGAAGAGGCTAAACATTGTGATGGTGTCGTGAGAACCTGAACCTGAGGAGGAGCAAAATCTGCGATATCTGCATCTGCACCAGGCCGGCCAGTCAATCAATCAACTTGATCAGCAATGTTGTACAACTAAATCTAATCTAATAGTACTATACAATGCATTCCACTCCAGGACCAGTCAACACTTGGCGCGTAAGGACAAGGGAAACCGTAAAGATTACTAAAGTACTTCTACGTGACAGTTCTAGTCGAATGGCACTTGTAGTCGTAATTGTATTGTGCTCTGGCATACGTTCGTAATGCACCTACGTGGTGGCCTTGTGCTACTGTCAGTACTGATGTAGTGATGGGTAGTGCTAGAGTGAATTCACACTCTGCACTGTTCTGGCTTTCTTTGCTTCTTTCTCGTGTCTCTATTGATGAAAAGGTGGAAAGCTTTTGGAAATTCAGATACATGTAACTCTTTTTGACAGCGGACTGAGCATCATGAAACTAGCTACGAGCTACTGCACTGCATATTATTTAAGTGGTTTTCCAGTGCTAGTGTCCAGACACAAAATCCTGGGTCGTTGACGAAAGATGTCCAGCTGCGGGGGCCTTTCGCACCCTACCACGATACGAGCACCAGACTTCGAAGTAGCGGTGGTGCCTGGCGGATAAATATGACGAGGCCCAGGCTCTACATTATAACCGGTGCCAGGCTTTCTGCGGACAGTGAGTGATCTAACCATTGCTAACGAGTCCAGATCCACACCCAGATAACGAATCCAGGTACATACCCAGATACCGAGTCCAGGTACATGCCTAGATAAGGAATGAACATTCAACTCGTGATCATCTTGAGTAGAACCTAGCATTAACATTAAGTAATACACACACACACACACACCCGTGCATTTACGATGTACATACACGTACCTGCGCCTGGCTGGCGTCTACGCCGCAGATCTCTTTGAAGCCAGCCTCGGCTAGAAAGAACGTTGAGCCTCCAGCCCCACATCCTACATCCACCACTCGGAGATCCTCAATGGACGCAGTTTCACCATGACCGTTCTTGTCAGCTGTTCCTCCATCTCTACCCGAGACGACGTCTTTGATCTTGTCTAGCAAGCAGCCTGGATATTGAGGCCTGAATCTAGCGTAGCGATCAGCAGAGCGAGAGTCCTCGAAATACCGTGCCATCGTGGACTGCTGAAAGCATGCAATGATGCAGCCGGTTCTTCCACGTGGGTACTTACATGACTGATTATTGTACACGTACACGTATGCGGCTCGCACTGGTAAGTGTCATCGGGCTATCAAGCACTAGGGCACTGGGTAAAGCAAGGGATTCAGATACGATTCAGCTCGGAGCGCGGGAAAGCACAGCTATGAAATCACAGAGCTGATAATCATAGCTTGGGAAACCATAGCGCCGGAAATCTCAGCGCTGATAATCATAGCGCCGCCGGCCATTTTAGCGCCTACCCATATGGAGAATGGAGACGCGAAGCTACACGTCGTGTCGTTGTCGTCGACTGGTAGATGCGCCGTGATAATAATAATGTTAGTGCATGGCAAGGCAGGGAGGTCCTTCTGCCTTGTATAGGAAAATAGCGCCCGACAGCTGGTTAGCCCGAGGGCCATAGGCAGGGTTGGAAGATCAGGAACGGCTAGTAAACACTCGATCCGGCTGAAACAGCTTTGAAATGACCTTGACAATGTCATATGATTACGGTCCATTACGGTCAATGCCAATGGTAGGGTATCTACAAGCTGCAGTGCTGCAAGTGTTGCTATAGCTGTAGCTGTTCACAGCCGAACCTTTAGGCTTTACCATGTTTACAGCCAAGTAAAAGGCTTGTAGCGGATTTACATGAGACAGAGTTTGGAGGCTTCCGCAGTGATTGTCTCTCGAGTATACCCTATTTCTCTTTCATTGGATTGCTTTTGAGTATTTAATAGTAGTGGCGGGACAAAGAGTCCCAGTTGTGGATTCTGCTTCCTGCATGCAGCACTGTCGTCTGTAGAGTATGGACACGTTATATTTCGCACTGGTAACGGATAACCCACGGCCAAGGACTGGACTCCCAACGAGATCCAATCTCCGGACAGGTCCGGACAGGTTCAAGGCAGCATCAACCGAGTTGTCACTCAAGCCAAGTTTGGAACTGGGCGATGGCCCGTTGGGTTTTTTGCCCCTCCGTTATTTCCTAATTTTATACTCCACTTGTTGCAAACCACCAGTTCTCAATTGGGAAAGGCCTTCGCGCTTATGGCATTGTATTCGTTGCAATGTTGTATTTCGACTCCGCCGTACCGCTGATGTTGCTGCATGGTATCCGCTATATGCGCTGTGTGCGTTTTGCTGTATACGCTGTTATGTCCCGTTTTATATGCGTATGTTTTGCATGTACGCTGTTTTTGCATGCTAGAAATAGCTGGTGTTATTAGTGTTCATTGTTAATTATTCGATGAAGTGAAATATACTGTGTAAAGGAAAAGAGTTGTCCTCGTGCCGTGTGGTCGTACGATCCTGACAATTTAGAGAATCTTAGAGGGTTCACAACATTTGGCGACCACGCCAGGATAGGAGCGAGCATGGCAGAGGAACTATGGAACAATTTGGAAGCCAGCTTTATCGACAATGGAGAGCGGTTAGGATTAGAAGGCGAGTTGTTGAAGGTACATGTGGAGCAGAGGCTCCAACAGTACGCAGAGCGTGAGGAGCGCAGTGCCAGACGGCGAGAGGAGGCGCTCCGCACCGAGTTTGACAAAACACTAAAGGAGATTAAGGTACATACTACTACCTGGTACTGTAGTAGTAGTACTCCTTTGTAGGGTCAAAAATCGAAGTTTAGAAATCGGCTTTTTGACTCTTTCAGTGGACGCACAAGGCCCTGAACCTGTGGAATCCAAAATTTGAGGCGAATCGGCACAGTCTTTGCAGAGTTACAGGCCAGTGAAGTGCGTGGCCGTGGGTATGTACGATGTACACACTGCAGCGTGACCATGCTAGCTGTCAGAAGAGCAAAAATGAGTACTCATGCCACGTGGCAAAAATTCAAATATTCGTTACCATGACTGCACAAAATGGCGATCCAGCGTAAAAACTGGGTTCCCTTGCGCTTTTTGCATCACAAACAGCAACTATTCTGCACTCGCTGTACACATGGTACATGTGCTGAGCTTGAAGATGGGAAACAAAAAAATGGAAAGGTAGATACTACGTTGCCAAAAAGAAGAAATATTATGGAAAGAAGCCTGAAACAGCTCCCGATCCTAACCCTGTTCCTGTGGAAGCGGAGCCAGAAGATATTGGACGTAGCTCTTCATTTGCAAAGCTCGTCGGCTGCAAACCCGGGAGCAGGAGACATCAGACAGCGATGGCGATGTTGGAACGGAGTCTGATACCTCACTGACCTCGAACCCAGACACGAGTGACAGCAGTGATGACAGTGATTGTTTCGAGGCTGATGAGCCCCATACTGGTGCGGGAAACGTATTTTCGACTTGGAGCAGCTGCAGGAGATTCTGCTGAAATGTGTGTGCAGTTTGTAAAGTTGGCGGTATCATTTTGGAAAAGGAGAGACAGCAAGGCTTAGGATCACACATGGTCATATCCTGTTCATCAGAATCATGTCCTGGTGCTAATGTCAAGTTTTCATCGTCCATAAGAACAAGATTTTTTGACGTCAACCGATGCTCCGTTTTAGCTGCCAGGCCCATTGGCCGAGGACACTCTGGTCTCCAGAAATTCTGTGCCATTATGGACCTCCCCAAGCCTGTCAACAAGACGAACTTCGGGTACAATCTGATTCGAAAAGACCGCACTCAACGCTTGGGTGGCGGAGTCTGCTTCTACTACCGTCAAGATCTCCCAGTTCGATCCCGCCCAGATCTGCAGTCTGAATCTACAGAAACAGTCTGGGTAGAAATAAACGGAAAACCAGGTCGACACCTGGTTGGTTGCGTGTACCGGCCACCGGGGGAGCCAGTGTCTTACTGGGCAGATTTGGAAGCAGATATTGTAGGAGCAGCTGTGCAGTCTTCTTCCGTGACCCTAGTTGGAGACTTTAATGTAAATATGGACCCAGCCCATCCGGCACCCCAGCACAAACACCTCACCGACCTCTGTGCTGCGTTTGGCCTCCAGAACATCGTCATGCAGCCGACCCGTGAAACTCCACAGTGCCCTGAAGGCACGATGATCGATCTCATATTGACCAACCCGGCGCTAGTGTCCCTAGCAACGGTTGTGCCCACTGATATTAGTGACCACAGCGCTGTGGAAGCCTTTATTCAGCTTGCCGTTGACGTTCCACCCGCGTCATCCACGACGTCGCGGCTGACCAGGAATATACGTGGCGTTGACATTAACTCTTTTCGGCAAGATATCCTTGAGGCTTCTCTACATGATTTTTCGGATCACAATGATGTAAATCACATGTGGAAAGAGTGGCACACTAAGTTCCTGTACGTTTTGGACAAGCATGCCCCGCTGCACAACTCTAAGCCTTCCCGGAGGGCAATACCTCCCTGGTCTGACAGAGAGCTGCACCAGCTCGAACAGCGTAAACGGCGGCTGCACAGCCGTTGGCAGAAGGATAGGACAAACGGCACACTGTATGCAGAGTTTAAACAAGCACGTAGCACTGCTCGGAACGCGTATCGGCGCAAGCGAAACGAGTACTTCTCCCGTCAGTGCGAAGAAAATGTGGCCAACCCTAGGAAGTCTTGGGCCATTCTAAATGCAGTCACTGGGCGTTCACGTCGCCGCCAAGATCCTAGTTGTAGCATCAGCGAGGTGGCCGACACGTTCCACTCCATTGTCACCGATCCCAACCGTCCTGAACAACTCTGTACCCCGCACGGTCCCGCTGGACCCGTCTCCTTGACCGAACTTGATCCTGTGACTCCTGCTGACGTCCGACGTCTCCTTGAGAAGTTGGATGCGCGGAAAGCCACAGGTAGTGACGGCATACCGGGCTCTCCAGGGCCTGCTCTAGACATTAAACACAGCCCGGTCAGAGTGTACCTGGCGCATGCAGGCCAGCCGGGTCAAGCCGGGTCAGATCATCCAGCAGAAAAACAACCAAAAAGCCTGCTCAAAACGCAGGAAAATAGAAAGGCGAATTTATTACCGGAAATCGGAAATTTTAGAGAACAAAGCGAACTATCAAAGTCCGCAAACGTAGAAGGTAAATACGTGAAGAATGCAAAGCAGTTCCATTGGATTCTGATTTTACAATTTGAAAAAAGGATTCTGTTTTCTCATTAGCTCTAGTAGCAGGACGAACATGTTCGCATAATAGAGCACTGGGGGGGGGGGGGGGGGGGGGGGGGGCGGGTGCCTGCAGCACCCAGGAGGCGAGCAGCATGCCGATAATTCGAAGCAGTGAGTTCTTACCTTACGGAACACCACTCTAAATAAAGCCACAACCACGCATCGCGACCAAATCCACCGCCGCTCGTCTTCCTTTGGAAATGCGTCTTGCACAAAGCGCATGACATGGATAGACTGGCATAGTCGTAGTCCAGCCAGGGTCGACCTTTCTTCCAAGAATCTTGGAAAGCGTGAGTTCTTTTTCTCTTCGCTGCGGGCTCCATCGCCCAAATCAGCAGTCAGCTGAAAACTTACTTGCAACTGTGCCAAAAACTGCAGCCAAAGTTACGTTTTTTACTGCCTGCCCCATCGACTTTGAATGTCCTTACTTCCTCTGTCCCCGGGGAAAATTGCGGAAAAAAATCGCAAAAAACGCGGGGAAAAACGCGGCATAATATGGCATAATTTGCGGTGAATTTGCGGTAAATATGAATATTGATGTGCGGCAATTTTCAGTGAGTATGTAGTGAAATCAATCAGTTACAAGGCTCTGGTGTAAGCACTCGTCATATTTGAGTAAAAAGCCGCCACGATGAGACGTTGCTGACCGAACAGTGCACTGTGTGTACCTGTAGTGCAACAAAAAGTTCAAATAACGCGGGAAAATCGCGGAAAACGCGGTCTTTTAAAAAATCGCAAAAAACGCGGAAAAAAAACGCGGCCGCGGAATCGCAATTTTCCCCGGGGACAGCTTCCTGCTCGCCGCTGGACAGATCGCGCTCGAACCAGTTGACCCTTGGCCCTAGCCGAGTTTCTGTCGCTTGTAGACTGTAGTGTACGTGTGTAGATCTACTGTTGCGCTAGATTTGCAACAGATGGGGTCCGCGAGTCGTAAAATACCGGTATTTTAGGAATCCATTGTCATTAAATTTTGTTTTCAGCCGGGTCAGACTGGACCCGGTGTTATCTGTCCAGCCAGGTCGTGCAGTTCCCCAGCCGGGCGCGTGACCCGGCTGACCCGGCTCTCCAGCAGGCCCTGCTCTCTGCTACAGCAGTGTGCTGACTTGCTTTCATATTCTCTTGCTGTGCTCTTCTGCACCTCGCTGAGGACTGGAACCATTCCATCCGCATTTAAATTGGCGTCTGTCGTGCCACTGTACAAGGCCGGTGACCCATCAGTCCCCACCAACTATAGACCTGTATCCCTTCTCCCAATAGTGTCCAAGTTGCTGGAGAGGGTAGTGCA